CTTCGCAAGGTTCCGTTGTCCTCCCAAACGTGTTATATGGTGATTACGCTGCGCAACATAGTTGATCCAGTTGTAAGATAATACGCAAGTTCCGATAAGGACTGTTTATTTCACCCAAGGGATCGAAGCCCCACCTATTAATGATCAGACAGGAAGGCAACGGCAAAGGCTTTCGACTCCAACGTGCCGGTGAGGTGTGATCTATCGCGATGCGTTATCATTGACTGAAGTCAGTGCTGTGTGTCAAAAGCGTTCAAAGCAGTATTAGTTAAATGGGGCATCAAGAAACGTCGCAATTCACCGTAACACCTGTATACCAGTGAGGTGACAAACGGTTTATCCGAACCATGAAGACATTGATGAACTGTGTAATGTTACTGCGTGAGATTGCATTGCCCGAAGTAGTGCTCACTTATCAAACCAGCATGCAATCAAGCACCATGGCATCGCCTTTCGGATTGAAATTTTGGGGACATCAGAAACTTGCACTCGACACGTGGTTGTCAATGGGTCGCGGATGCTAATATCCAGCAGCGTATAACGGTGGATTGCAAACATCCGCCCGAATGGAAACAAATTCTCTTCGATTACAGAGTAAGCTGAACTCTGAAGCAAGATATCCAGCACACAAGTGGAGACCATTCAACCTAAGAGACCAAGTACAACTACGCAATAGCGATCCACGTGCACGTAGAGGACCAGGTGTGAGCAAGTTCATCGAACACTGGGTAGGTCTCTACATCATAATCGACCGAAAAGAATGAACCACCGAGTCGACAACACGATGGCGTAACACTGGGTCAATACAGCTCTCCTATGGCCATTGTACACTTCTACGGGACCAGGTATTCAAGACTAGTTTGGTGTAGTGACGCGAAAAGCAATAATCACGGGTAAGAAGGAAAGTCACGGAAACGAATGTAAAGGGAAATTAACGAGGGTACCGGGGACGCAAGTCCGCAAAGCTGCTCGAAGTCTACGAAATAGGCCTGAAATGGTTCACGAGCGACAAGCGATCTCGGGCCCACGTCGAGAAGAACGTGAAAGGTAATGGTGGAGTGCCCGACTTTCGGGAGAGATACCTCGTTGTTCACAGCTTCATGAATGATCCCAAAGAAACAACACAAACCCGATTGCGCAAATCAAAACTATTAGAACGAATCCAGTCCGGTCAAAATACCACGGACGGCAGCAAAGATACGGGGGCAAATCGCCAAGAAAGACAAGGATTTGACCCAATTGAGGCATGGATGTGGCGGAGAACGAATGAACAAGGTATGGTGTGTTGTGGGATGGAAATTTTCCGTATACGTGCGTGCGTTCTAGCTGGGTAACCCGTAGTGCGTTGGCGCTAACGGTTGTGCGTTCTTACCGTCTCGTTCTCGCAATAGTTGGAATTTTGGATTCCTGTTTCTACAACTTTCTGGCATGAAGGAAAGCCCCGTACTACTATCATTTTGCTCGCGTTAGTCTCGGCTTCTTTTGTTGGGTCCTTACAACAAATCTCGTCGCGTATCTGTCGATCAATGCCTTTCAGGTCAATGGTTGAGCGCCCGACTGTAACTCAAGGTCGGCGCGCGCGGCTACTTGTCTCGCTGAATTGACTGTGCTGGATGTCAACATGCATTTCGCACATTCCGACGTGTCACAGGGCTTTGCGGGGGCCGGTTTAAGTGACTGGGTCGCTCGCTCAGAATTCGAGCTGTAGTGTAAATAAAGCGACTGTGCGGTAAGAGCTACAATCTATCTGATAGCCCCTTCAATTAGCACCCAGCATCTGTGGTTCATCGCTTGTCGTAGCAATTTGGGATTTGGCTTTCGTTTGAGACTACAAACGTTACTGCGCGACACGGGATTCATACATTTGCGCACGTGTTACTGCAAAAGGCTGTAAAAACTGGGAGTTGGAAGTATAAGTTAGTCAGCACAACGTTGATCCGAAAGACGCGCTTTTATGTTAGATCGAATGAGTGTAAGTAGACGCGTGTGCGCGATGCGTATCGGTGAGGGTACAACACGGTCTGAGTACGTTGCACTCCGTGCAACGTAAGTGTTAGTGACCCCGAACTTTTTTAAAACTTCTTCAAGGGGATTTTGTGCGGCATCTTTTCAACTACGTTGTACATATTAATGCAGAGAATGATGGCCACATTGTCATTGTCAATCGGGTTTGTCAGCTAACTTAAAAAATATAAATAAATGCTTTTATTCTCGACAATGCGAGGCACACCTTTACAGGCATGATCATGCTAAGCAAACGTAGTGTGATCACAAATGTACCAAAATACGTGTTTGCCAAAACAGTGAATGTATGTGTATGGGTGTGTGTGTCCAATGCTGAGGCTGATGTTGCATTCATGATACTTCTTCATCGCAGTTGGGCTAAAGCAATTTGCCCTTAAACTAGGTATTTTAAGCTGGATAAATTTCAATCCACTTTATTTGGTTTGTTCTGCCTACCGGAATAATCTTCTAGTAATTTGCCACGATGCTTTCGCTGATTGTGGACGTATTCTTTAACTTTCTTACGTTGGTAGCAGTTTTTGAGTAACTTCTGGACGTTTTGTGCTAATCGCTAATTTAGCGAAGAATTATATCGGCATAGCCGAATGCTATAACAGATATATTTTATTTGATAATGTCATTTCAAGTGATTGGCTGTTGTTTGACATCCCCGGTGTGGCTGCGCTTGATGTGCATGTTGACAAGGTGCCTACCTGTCTATTACCCACTACCTCGTCCATACTGGCTCCAGGAGACAGTTGGTCGTTGCTGGAGGGGACGGGGTGCACGGTTCTTGTGGCCGTGTTAGGCTCAAAGAGCGGTTCCATGCACTCAGTGTGGAGCGGACTACGGTCCAGCCACCGCCTTGTGTGCGGTTGATTCCCAAATACAGCGTGGTTTTCTGTGCCTGTGCAGGAGTGTGGGCCGACTCCGTTGATGAAACGTGGCTCCCATCCACATGCCTCCCGGTCTTATTCCTTCGGGTTTACACTGGATTTGGGGTGTATAGAATGAGATGTGAGTGGTGCAGCGCAAGCCACCCATGGTCCCTCTGTAGGCGCAGGCGTCCTGTGGCTGGCCACAGTGACAAGCAAATCTGAAACTGGATGCCGCCAACCAATTGTGTATGAATGTAGCTGTGTAACTTGTGTTTGTGAACGTGCCGCAGCATTTTGACTGTTTGTTATCTTCAGGAATGTGAGAATAAACAATTGATGTCCGTGGTTTGGATAGCATCTTCCGGATATCCACGAGGCAGTGACTTTAGTTTGTGGCGAGTCACATCCGCCACGTCGCTGTGTTGATAAGCAGACGTTTGTGGCTTTTTATAGCGAGAACGCTTGCCACGCGAAAACCCACCAACTCCTGGAACACTGCCGCTGAACTATTTGCTGGAACGGGTTAAACCCGAACCACCCAGCTGGCACCATGAGAAGGTTGTTCGGCTAGCCAGCCTATATAAGTTGCCACGTCTTGCATGTGTGTTTTTGGACGAAACCCATGTTGGGCTGCGTTTATCAACTTTAACGATTGTAAGTTTTTAACCATTTTCTCTGCTATCGTTCTCTTCATTATTCTCCAGATATTCGGCGCGTGACTAATTGGGCGGTACTTTCCAATGCTGTATTTTGTACCATGCTGGTGTCTAGGTTCTGTTAAAGGAAGATTCCATTGACTTTGGAGTACTCACGTTTCATAGATAGGTTTACCATATTTGAAAGTATAAACGTTACAACTTGCCACATAAACTTTATTGTTGTTGTTGGTCCAGGCTGAGACAGAGGAAGCCCAGAAACAGTCAATGGGTGCTCGAATATCACCACAATCGAATCGCATTTAGTTCAGTCTTGCAATGGGAGCAGGAACGCTAGGCATCTCTATGCCAACTGGGGCAGTGCATGAAGTGGAAAAGTTGTTTTGCATTGCATTCCCTATTATGATAGTTATCATCGCCATGGATTTGTCAGGTAATATAATGCCTGAAAGCGATTTGGCTTGGTTGTCGTTTCTGGCTTTCAGCAGAGTGATCACAAATTCCGGTTTATGGTTTTTCTCCTGCTAATAGCTTTGTAACACAAATCAACTGCAATTTGTTAGAAAACTCGTTCCGTTTGATAAACAAGGGGAAGCCACGAGTTTGTTTAGCTGTGTAGTCTAGTGTTTTTACTTTACAACAAAGGTATTTTTAGTTGGAAGGTGTTTGTCAGTAGCGTAAGGTTCGTAGAAAGTAGAAGTCACGATTAAACTGCGCACAATAATCTGCCTCGACGGGGAATCGAACCCCGGTCCCACGAATTTCCGGTCTGTTGCTCTACCACTGAGCTACTGAGGGCTGACGATTAGGTGAGCAATTTAATACATGACGTCTGCTTGGTGCGCGACGTATTGCCAATGAGCTCACAGTAACTGTCGTGGTGTTGCAGATTGGCTCACTCACTCGTCACTTCCCAAGGGACCGAAGTAACTGTCCTTCTGAAGTCCAAAGGGCGATGGTAGATTACTTGGAAGGTGTTGGTGAGTAGTGTAAGGTTCGTAGAAAGTAGAAGTCACCTCGCGCACCAAGCAGAAGTCATGTATTAAATTGCTCACCTAATCGTCAGCCCTCGGTAGCTCAGTGTTAGAGCAGCAGACCGGAAATTCGTGGGATCGGGGTTCGATTCCCCGTCGAGGCAGATTATTGTGCCCAGTTTAATCGTGACTTCTACTTTCTACGGAAGGTATTTTTCACGTGAAGTATTTGTGGACTCGTTCCTATTGAATCTTCACAAGAAAAGTATAGGGTTTTCAAGAGAGCGTTGGGTATTTATGTATTTTTCGTCTGCTGCTACCGGGAGTTCTGCGTTGAGAAATCACAAATCCAGGTTCATTTTACTCATCAGTACAGCAAATTTGTCCCAGTATATATTGCTGAGTCCCTAGGGAACAGTAGTGGTAGCCTTGTCTTATCCTGTGGGGACGAACCCGGTGCCATGGAATGGAAGTATACGAGAACATATTATCGTTATGTGGGAAGCGAGATAGCATACAACAAATGGGGCGCATGTATCGGGTAAATATGGCGTTTAAAAAGTTGTTTTCCGTGGTATAGGTTTATCATCTACTTGTATCCATTCCTGAACCTGAACTTCAAAAACGAAATTCAACAACCACAGTGTAATGAATTATTACACTGTGGCGGAAATGTCCCTTGGAGTATCTCTTCTGCCCACACTTGGGACCACTTTCCGTTCTGCCCACTTAAATGAGCTATCAACACGATGTTATCATATTCTCTGTGCGCTGCACAAAAGATCATTCACATGAATATGTCATTACACGTGGAGTGATGTTTCAGGATTGGTCTGCAGGCCCTCCTGTGCTCATCCTTAAAGGTCCACAGCTAGAACTGATAGGTAGTTTCCGCTAACTTGGGAGCCATGTTTCTGCCAGCGGCAGCATCAGCAAACAATTTTCTTTCTATATCATTAAGACCCGATCAGCATTTGTCAATATAAAACACCTGCTGCCATCTGGATGTCTCTATCTTAGTAAATGGCCACGTTTACAGTGCTACTATTCGTAAAGTGCTGTTATATGGGAGTGAGTTCTGATCAATTCGCGTAGATTACATGTACCATTTTTTATTTGTTGACAACGACTGTTTGAGGATGATCGCCCGTCAGTGATGGCAACACCGAGTTCACATTGCTGACCGTAAACATCGCGTCCTAGGGAATATGAGCTGGTTTCATTGCGCCTTATGTAGAGTGCCTAAGAGTCTGCTGAACCGCGTTGTATTCGCTCGTGCTAGATCGCACCGGAGATGACCAAGTGGGGATCAACCTTCCACTTGGTAACAGCAAAAGAAATCGTTGGGTTCGCGTGTTTCGTCGTTGAACCCGTGTATCTTCCTAGATGAGGATCCACGGACAAGGAATGCCAGTGGCCTGATAGACTTGAGGACATGGTCCATTGTTCGTCCTTTGCTCCAAGTCGGTTCACTGAATAGGACAGGCTCTTCTTCCTAACGCCAAGTATTAATCAATCTTCAATCTACTGTGAGTGATGTATCATTGGACGGGCTGTTTGGACAGGAACTTGCGAACCTGCTTACTTTCAGGCTGGTTTGCACATCACCTGCGGACTCCTTCTGCACCTCAGTGTTGCTAAAGTTCTTGGTCACAGGGTGAAAATGGTCCATGGCATTTCCGCTGTTCGGGTATCAACCCTTCTTTGTTTTGTACCACAGTAAGAGTGACTTCTTCGCTCTACTTACTACTGCTGATTCCTTCTATCTTCCTTTTAATTCTACCTTCTCAAGGCCGCAATTTGGATGGGATCCTGTTTGCCATGAGTTTTCTCGAGCGCTGGCAACACAGACAAGAACAGTTGAGCGGAAACGTGAATCCAGTCACCACTCAACCTGCTACGGACAATGTTCCCTTGTCTTCCTTGGCCAAGAATAAACGAGTTGTGATTGTGGGTGGAGGGGACACCAGCGTGGGCTGCACGGCAACAGCACTGAGACAAGTGAGTGGTTGCATAAACTGAGCATTAATTGCCTATGCTTCTCCCTCCTGATTTACGTGTTTGTTTGATTGTTTCTGTTTTGGTTGCTTGTCTTATTTGACGGTTCGCAAAGTGACGCAATTTAGTATATTGGTTCATCCTACCTGATCTAATCGAAAGTACAGTCTTCTTCGTACTGAACTCGGCCATATCGTTCCTCTTTACACACATAAGTTGTGCGTTTCTTCTTGGTAAAAGAGGTTGGCAAATTGCTTATACCAACTAATACTCAGCGATTTGCTCATCGTCTCTGCTTTGGTCCGTAGGTTGGACTAACATTCGGCTCTTGCGTGCACAGCACGCGTGTCAATCCCTCACGTTGTAACCTCGATAACGGCGAGCAGTAGATCAGGCCGTGTGTTTAATCATTTTATGGATCTAAGAATGTGCTGATATCATTCACTAATGAATATGATTGGAACAAATTTCTATTTGAGTAGTCGCATTTACCCCATCAAATAGCTTTTCCGGTTCGCCGTGAGGCAGCTTCACCCAGTCTCACTTCTACAAGAGCTACCTACGATAGTACCTGCCCCTTCACCTGTGCGCTAGCATCTTTACTACCGCCCACCAGACAGATTGGCAGATAATGAAAATTGTTTTAGATCGGAACCAGCCCCGAACTCCCAGCACATTCATGGAAAGAAGGGAACGTGTAAAGTACACCACTTCGCCTTGCATGTGGAACTAATGTAGGGCAAAGTGTTCATGAGTACGCGGCGGAGCAGGGGGTCGAAAACGATGTGAAGTCTTTCCAACCTTTTAGGTTGCTTCCACTTATGAAACACTTGCAGTACACCTTAAGGCCCATTTGTACTCTACCCCTTCCTTCTACATGTCGGGTTATTGTACAAACCATTGAGCTGTTGGCACCCCCCGGAGCATTTCAGTTGGTTTTGAAACTGGTGTACTGCAACGGTCAAAACTCATGTTATTTTACACTTTCAGCATTATCCACACTAGTAGTGATAACCATCATCGTAGGGCAAAAGGCTGGGGAAAATTAGCACTAACAAAATTGAATAGATGAGGGAAGACTTGTGTACCGTCAGTCCGACATTCGGCCGCAATGTTCCGATGCTCCACTTTTTATGGACATACTATCCACTATCCTTGGATAACAATAAGGTGCTTAGACACACTAAACTCAACTATACCAGCGCTATCCAGTGCATTCAAAAGTACAGCGTTGTTTATTACCCACTACCTTTACCTTCTCTACTGCAGTTTAGCCGGAGTTTCGCCGAAACCTACACTTTCGTTAAATTGTTTTCGGGTGAAAATCATTCTTTTTTACCCTCATTCGAGAGAGTTCTCTTAGCGCCATTCAGGGATTTCTATACCACAAGAATTCAACCTTTTGTTTGATATCTGTAGCTCGTTTGGCAGCTATCATCCTAACACTCCCCAAATTAGCGTGAATTCTACCACGCTTAACCTTCAAATACTCATCAAGCCGAAGCCTCGCCCGATCGATTGTCAAGTGCCCACTGCTTATAACAAAATGGCCTTGTGTTTACCTCCGACGGTTTTGTTCGCAACTGTGGCCCCACTCGTAAAATATTGTCAAGGGACATCGTGTACTTGTCCCAACACGCTCATTGCGCTGAACGCTGGCAACGACAAGACGATCGCAATCTACACACGTGACTGACATCTAGGAAAACGAGATATACATAGTTCATGTATATACAGGTCAAACTTCTGCGATTCAAAATGGTGCTCCAAAGCTATTCGAAGTGGAATAATATGTTGTAACTGCAGTAAAACTTCCACCCCAACTGAGCAAATTAAAGTGTATCGAAATAGCAAGCATGACACTTCACACCAGACTTCATTTGAGTATGTACAGAGTGTAGGATCGACCCAAGCGTCAGGCCTACTAACGTGCTGGCACCGAAATGTAACAAACCGACGGTGATCGTATAGCCTGCTACGGCGGAACCTGAACCTGCTGCAGCTTAACCCGACTTTAGTTGCTTACACTTAAGCTCAGCCTTGGAACGAAGTAACCAATAGTTAAGATAGTTAATAGCGTAGAACCAGCTGCCATAACCACGAGAACCAGCAAACAGGTGGGCAGCCGGTGCCTGGCAACCTCGGTGACCCAAATCTTGCGTAGCTTGGATATTCCAGGGTTGCGTCTGGGGCACATATCACTCCATTGCGATCGGATTTATCCAAAAGCCTGACATTATACGCATCCGTTGCTGCTGTATGCAGATACAACAAAAGTTAACGCTCACTTCTGCAACTTCTCTAAAGTGCGATAGACATGACACGAATACCAAGACGCCTCCGAGAAGGCCGTTTACCACCCTGCCTGAGAGGGGAAGCAGGCACTTGTCCGAAACTGTGAATGCTAGAAGAACGCATAACTCGATGAAGACAATAGACTCCAACGTGCCTGAGCCGAAGACAAACTATTGAACAACCTGAAATGATGGGAATCCGAACCAAACAGGCCAGTTTGGTTTGCATCTTTCGCCACCCAAACTCAGCTCATTATGGCGAACCAAGGCTACTTCAGGTGACACCTCAGTCGGCTAACGACTCGAATGCCACCGTCTTAGGTCACCGTCTCCGTGATTCTTCGTTCAACGTTCCTATATTCACTGACTATCCTTGGAGTGAGGGTGGACATAGGAATCAATTTCCAGGAACATACCGCAAGTAAACCGACCAGTGATCGATCTTGCCTATTTTGTCCCCGAAATTTATGCTTTGGATGAGTCGCGAGCCCAAGCTGATGACTTAGAAGAGTTGTGCTGCATCCGCGTTGCCCTCTCTCCCACAAACGTGATCCAACCTCAAGGTTAAGGTTGCTTACTTCACCTAACTATAGCGGATGTGGTCCAAGGGAGTTGAAAGTCCTGCTCCCTGCCCAAACAAATGGTTAAAAGAGCGCTCGGCCGTTGGTAAAAGTTGCGCGTCAAATTGTCATCAGAAATACGTCTGAAGGCTGTCGGAAGTTGGACACCATTTGCTAAGGAAAAACGAAACCAGCGGCATTTTGTTGGGAGCCCATGTTTCTGAACTTCTGAACGTGAATCCAGTGCAATTCCCCAGCCGCCTGAAGGAGAAGTAGACAGTCTGCAACAACTCGCATCTCAAGGGTTAGGTAGCGAGTTCTCCGGAAATTCACACAAAACTTTACGCACAATCGCAAGAAAATTTTGCAAGTTCAGTTACGCTTCTGACATCCTTAGCTCTCAAAAATTTGTGTGTAAACGAACCAGGACTTCTCAACAAAAAGACCGGTTTTGATTACGCAAATCTTCAGCATTATTTTGACCCCATCATAAATAAGTAACTAACTTCGTACGTACGCTACCAAGCGACATGCGACTCATAACAAGAGTATTCTTTATGCACAGAAGCAGCGTCAAACACCCCGCGGCATAGTATCTAATATAAAAACAAAAAAATCAGAAATTTAAAGAATGGGTTATTTCCTCGGATCATCGAGGTGATCAATCAAAACTCAATACATATGTTTACCTCGACCCGGATTTCAAAATGTTTAGATAAAACAACACTTAATAATTCAAAAGTCGGGTACAGGTCAAATGATTCTAAAGGTACGTGCACAATTTCGCGGATAATAATAAAAAAGGATAAGCCGTTTGCAGGTTGCTACATTTATAAAGTCATAAAACGAAATTTCCGTAAAAACTTAAAAGTAAAAAACTGAAAAAATAAAATTTTTTAATAAGAAGGTGACATTTTCAAAGGTAAAAAATGCAAAATAATGTAAAACACTGTGTGATCCGACAGACGCCCCCTAGAAAATCCTATGACCTAAAGTGTGTTCTCATTGGCCGGGTGCTAATATTAGATGCGTAAGTCAAGTGAAGTGACTAAGTGAGACTTGTGAATGAATCTCGAATCCATGGACATGGGCGGTGCCACGAGCTATTATAAGCCCCCCCCCCTCACTTCCGAAACGCTGCATGAAAATTGGTCTGCGAACAATGAACAGTCGGAACATAAACGCACGACTGAATGGATGTCAATAGTTCAATAGTTTAATAGTGTATGATGGGATAAAAAGCATTGGCTTTACAAGACCCATAGGATGGTAAATGCAAAATAAATAAAAATCATTAGATTCTGACATGGAACTGAAATGCCAATAGTCTAAACCTAGTACATCACATCACAATGTGTTGTTTGTCACTCAGATGAATGTCTAACAATTGTTTGAAGGCTGTAATGTTCGGAGCGCTTACCACATGCATTGGCAAGTCATTCCATTGGGAACAGATTCTAAGAGAATAAAAATGTTTTCTACAATCTAACCTTGAGTGTTGGATTATCAGCTTGAGGTTATGACCTCTCGAGGCTAGGGTGAGCAGCGATTTGCACGGGTGATCGCTTTCCGTTAATATCCGGTATGCGAGAATGAGATTTCCGCGTAGTCGTCGGTATTCGGAGGAAAACATTCCGATTAAACTGAGACGCACTTCATAATTGAGACCAGCTAATCCGCGTGTTGCCTTCGTAGCTCTTCGTTGGGGCTGCTCTAAGAGATGAACGCCCCGTTTTAACCATGGGCACCAAGCCTGGACGGCATATTCGACGTGGGGACGGATATAGGTGTTGACAAGCATGGGTACCAACCGTCGTTCAAAAACACCAAAAGCTCGTCTCACAAATCTCAGATCCATGTTCGCCACGTTTGATGCTTTGGAACATTGGAGCGAATTACCCAGACTTTCTTGCACAATGATACCTAAGTCTCTTTCTGTGGTCACGCGCCGTAAAACGTGCTTCCCCAAGAGGTACGTGTTGGTAAGTTTGCTGCGCAATGACAGTAGGTGATACCTGGCAGGATTCAGGGGGAGGTGGTTTATATCTGCCAATTTGTTGATTCGATCCAAATCATTCTGGAGGAGGGCACAGTCTGATGCAGAGCGAATAACTCTCCAGATTTTTGCGTCATCTGCAAAAATTTGCAT